AATTATTAGTTGAGGATACATTTGTAATTTACCACTTCATTAAAGGTTATAGNGTTATATGAGAATTTTTTGGTGTTAGAGGTTTGGTGTTAAGAGAAAATGTTTTATAAGATTTTGATCCCTCCCTGACCCTCCACCGCTACTCCTCCCCATGTGCATAAAACCGATGCCCTACTTCCCTATGGGTCCAAAGCACAAAAGGGTCTGGCCTAATTTAGTAATGTTGCCCAGCCCATTTTGTGGCCCTCCACCTAATCCTTACCTAGGCCCAAATGTTTTAAAATCATATTTGCAAAAATCATATTTGTTTTTGAGCTTATTGGCTTNTCTCCTTTGAGAAGTACAAAGTTTTCTGGATTNTCAAATTCTCTAATTTACTCCCGGTGGAAGAGTTCATTCCCACCTTCTTCCATCTCATTGAGACTGGTCGTATTNTCTTTCCTCTTTTGGAGAGTGGTCGATGTCCCGAGTTTTATGCCGGGTTTTTCAAAGTCACACTGTAAAGTGACCAATTTAAGATTCTCTGGCTTTGCCTCGAAGACCCTCTTGACGCATCTGAAGCGTGCATGGGATCTGCTGTCCATCGTCTGCGATAATTTACCTGTCCTAATTTGTATTGCATTTCATTTATGTTATAGTAATGTAGGAGGATGCTTAATTTCCTCCTTTTGTACTTGGATCATTTAAAGAAATGAAGTAAGTTAATTGAAAAAAAAAAGGAGAATATATAGTAAATCACGTTGTATATTATATCCTACATAGTTATATTAGTTTTCATCCTTATATATATTATTATTTGTATTAACTAACAAAAATTATATAGGGAGATATGTGCTGTATACTTGCTCTCACTGATGCTATTTGTCATATGATATTAGGGAGGTCTTAAGTTCGTGTGTTCATCTAAATTATTGTAGTCTTTTGTGTGATTGGTCAAATTATTTTTATTAAATATATTAAATAATATTTTTTAGTTGAAAAATAATTTCTTAATATCCGTGTTTTTTGCTAAAACAACTTACATTTTGAAACAGAGGGAGAGAGAGTATTAATTTATTAAAC